ACACCCAATACAGACGATTGTCGCCGTTAATGTCTCCGCAGTGACCGCTTTTTTGCGCAATTAACGCGGGTAATCCCATTGGCCCGACTCGGTTTAAATGCATTTATTTACTTAAACCGTGTAAACAATTGATCAATGCGCCGCCGTCGCATTTTGTGAGTGAATAAACACGCAACGACGGCCGTCTGAAATATTCAATTAAAAGTTGTTAAACGAAACAATTACAAAGCGAGCAACAAAAGCGTATGTTCGCATCTCCGCATATCGAGTGGAAATGGAACAATGTCAACAGTGGCGGCTCGGTGGTGCAGTTTCAGCCAAAAGAGCTCCCAGTGGGGTTACTGCCACCACAAGCCACGTGGGAATGCATCCTCTGCACAGTAAACCACAGTTGAGAGAATTCATACTGACTTTAAACAGTTTTTTTTAAAGAGTTTTAAGCTTGAAGGTGAACTTTTATAAACAGAAAACAATCTATTTCTGTAATATGTGATATTATTAATGCAAAAGTTTTGTGTCCTTTATATGATTTATGCCAACATTATCCACTGTTTCATTTGCTGTCCGATGTGCAATGTACTTTGTTGTCCTGCAAAGTGAGTTATTTCTGAAAAACGCTAAAAATTTGCTGCCTGTGATTCGGTTTTTGTTTTTACTACAGTAACTCCACTGCTATTGTTGGTCCTGCGGTCTGTTTGGCAGTTCGTAAGTTGGCCTTAATTTGATTGTCTGCCATAGAAACAAATGTAAAAATTAATTAACTCCCCTGGGAACGGAAATATATAAAATCAACAATAAAGCTGATACAGTCTACTGGGAGTTTTGTTTTTTTAATGCCTCAACTTCAGCTTGCTGCATAAATGCAAGGCAATATTTTGTTGGTTGGCCGCTTATTCAGGCTTTTCATGGCTTCTGCCAGCTTCATTAGCTATTCCAAAGTTGGCTGTATATCAGGCAGAGGATTCATCTTAATATCCGTCGTCTTTTCGAGGCTCTAGGCTCCAGGATGCACTCGTCGTGGCCATAATGTTTGCCTTGCCTCCTCCGATGAGCCCCTTAGCCTTCGTCTTTTTTGGGGCACAAACTTATGCCGCACATTATGAGAATGCCGTTGAGCGTCGTCGCCCGCTCATAAATTAATGAAAATTTATTTATGCCCCGAAAAGTATAGAGCAAACAATGGCGTCAACTTCAGCGAGGACCCCAAGGAGTCGGAGGGGTGAAATGGTTTCCAGTTTTCAGTTTCCAGTGCATTAAGCAATGAAGGCGCCACCAAAGGTTGCATATATCACTCCGGGAGAATGTGCACCAGTCCTATGAGCAACTGTCATGCAACGTGGCAAGTTCGGGGGAGGAATTCCAACTAAAAAATCAATTTGTTAAGCTTCAAATGGGAATTTTTCGTTGGAAAACCTCCCCCCCCTGTTTCACCGTCGCTTAGATAATATGCTTTTGTGTCGGGTGGAAAATATTTGCCAGGATAACAAGCAAGGTGTTCCATGTCGTATCCTTCCTTGGCGCTGAACAAAATGACTTTTCGTGCTGCTTGCCAAATGGTCAACATTACATTTCCTATCTCTCCACCGCTCTGTCCCGCTCTTCTTCTTTTTTGCATGCAGTTTCCGTTTCCGTTTGGCTTAGTTGGCTGTCCCCTGTCCCCTCCTGACCCCTGACCCTGTCGCCTGTCGCTTTCGCCCCACCCACTTTGCATGTTGTCACGCTCTTCGTGTCCTGCACTCGAAATGCACTTATCATGCAGAAGAAGGGTTCAGGACTTTGTACACTTTACTGGCGCAGTTTGTAGATGTTTTGTCGAAAATGTCACCAAAATCCAGGCATTAATACCATATTTAGAAGCAAGCCTGTAAGCCCGTCGTATTCTGTTTTCCTTTTTATGTCCTTTCTGCCACATCATCAATTACACATTTTACAACTGCTCTGTGTTCTGTGTGTGTGTTATTCCCTTCTCTTAGAGTTTCCCAGAGGAGGTCACTGGCAAAACAGACATAAATCAAACATTTCCCACGTTGCGAAACAATTTCCGACTCAAGACTCCCTCTTTTCATGTCTATCTTTTGGCTGAGTTTTATTTATGGCATCCGCCAAAACACAAACTGAAACACAGACAGACATTTGATAAATGTATAGACAATATGACTTCAGTTAGAAAATTTACAATTGCTTTTAACTTGATACGTAATTGTTGTTGTCATTGTTGTTGCCATTATTGTTGTTGTTGTTGCCTGTTTGGCGCATTGTATTGCATTTTGATTTGTGGTTTATAAGCTTTTGTTTGGCCCATAAATTTGGCTTATTTCGCATGCCATTCTCGTTGCTGGCAAGTTTTGCCAATTCAATGAAAACTTTAATACGAAGTTCTGCAATTGTTTGTTAGTTGAGTCCGACATGTCGTATGCGTAATATTTTCAAAAGGCATTCTTCACAGCTCTTATTGAGCGTTCTCTGATTTTGTTTTGATGAATTTTGTTACAAAGTGGCTGTCCTTTTAGCTTGAACAGTATGACATATCTATCAATAAAGTTCATTTAATTTGAGATATGCTTAAAATCGTGTACGTGTTGATGTCTCTTTTTGATTTTATTTCTCATAGCTCCACATTTTCTAAGAAACTTTCTCTTGCTTTAATTCAACGCAAGTTTGTGCCACCTTTTCCTCAAACTTTCTGCTTTCTTTATTTTGGCAGCAAGAAACCGTGAAAACAACTGGCAGCAGCAGCACAGAAAGTGGGACAAAAATTTCATTTGCTGGGCAACATTTCATTTAATTCATTCCTTCATTATTTTCATTATTGGCCGCATTTTATGATTGTTGTTTTGGCTGGAATTGAGCGGGTCCTTGCCGGGACCTTTTGGCATTTGCGGCATGCAGCTTAATTTAATATGCCTTTCACTCAGACCCCAGTTTATTTCCTCGACTTCCGACTGATGATGTTTTCTTTATGGCGGCATTTTATGTATTTATTTTCGGGGACTGAAAGGGTTTCGGCCGTGCACGTAACTTCGCCAGATGTCCAATCTTGAGTGCCTAAATTATTTATTAGGCATCTTTTGCGACAGCTTACGACCTTATGAAATATCATATTCTTTGTGCCGAGCCAGCAATAACAAATGAAACATATGGCCCGGCAGGCGGCCTGTTTAGGTGGGTCACCTCATAAATTATTTGTCGGCTTGTGTGACCCACAGGTCGGGCATAAATCCCATCAAATTGACAGCAAGTCAGCGCAGACAGGTTCTACATATTCATTGGGCACTCTCAAAAACTTCTGTCTTAGAAAAATCTATCAAAAATATAAAATATATATAAAAAATCCTTTAAATTTAAACATTTTCATTCAGAATCACATTTCGTTTTGCAATTTCTAATCAAGCGAAATTTAAGAGAAATTCGACTCGAAAACGTTGAATGACTCAGGGCTCTTTGATACTCCACACTCTCATTTAAATAACCATGAGCTTTTTGACATAAATTCCACAAGCATTTAAATTATTCATTTGCATTATTGTTTGCCATTTGGCCAATTAAATTGGCCACAAGCAGACTTTATGTTTATTCATAATTTATACATTGGATTTCACAATATCAAATGAAAGCCACTTGACTACATTGGTCGATAGGCCAGATTATTTACGGCTGATTGGTTGGCATGGAGCTCAATATTCGTCAATGAAATTTGTCAAAATAAACTGAAAAACACGGTGGTTGCTTTTGATCTGTAAATTTGTCGTTTCCCTCATCACGTTAATCAAAATTTATGAACTTGCTGGGGAAAAGTGGTGTAGCTTGGTCTTGAAAATTCAGTCTGGCAGTAAATTGCTAGTTTATATCGTATGGAATTTATTTAGCCCGTAAAATGCAATCTCAATGCCAGCCGAAGGGAATTTCTATCCTTATGTTTGTGTTTGTTGGGAGCAACAAATTTGGCATATCTTAATGGAGAACAAAGACACATAGACCCAACTTACGGGCCCTTGAACCGACTCTGGCCTGTGGACTTGACTAAGGGAAGCCGAGCAAATATTTATTTGGACTCTCGTGCCAGTGGGCGGAATATAAGGGACACTCCATTTGCACCTGCAGCTCCACCATGGAGCATGGCAAATGCAGCTGAGGCTGCAGCTCTCGATGTTTATTTTAATTGAATTGTTTCTGGCCGGGCTAAGGCCAAGGCCCGGTGGAGATGGCAAGTTATAAATTAACAGCTAATTGTGTATGCAAATTAAATTGCAGTGCCACTGCAGATGGCACTTAAATCATAATTTAAACACATTTATTATTTATTTAGTTTTGCTCTCCAAAATGTCCAGCAACTGTTTTCAGCTAATGTCAAGAGTGCAGAGCCCACAGAGGCTTGATCATTAAATATATTTATTTTTATACTAACTACCTTCCAATATTTGCCATTCATAAACTAACAATACAAATCTGACCTAGTTTTGACATAATAAACATTAATTCATCGTTAGATCAGACTGTATCTCAATAGGCATTATTTACTGTACCATAAGATAATATCTGCTTACTCCTTAAAGTAAACCCAAGTCAAGTTAATTTGCATGAATGGGAAGGCCAATTAAATATACACACAGTTGGGGAAATTAACAAAGCGTCATAAGCTGACCGACTCAAAGCAGTTGGCAAACAATTCCAAATGGGTAAACAAAAACATATTGGCCAACTTAAAGGCGGCCCAACAACACGCCCTCACAAGGCCCGGCGACAGTTAATAGATTTATGCAATTGAAGTTCTCTGACTGCGATAAACTCAACAAAATGGCATAAAGCTCGGGTAATTTCCGCTCCCTGACGGATGGATGGAAGGATGGACGGAGGACTTGCTGGGCGAAAGGACCTCGAAACGTCCATCAAAAACTGGCCACAGTCCAGACCAAAAACTGATAAGATATGAAAAGCAATTTACGTAAACTGTCAACGACAAATGCGCCCTCGAGGACATGCTTCCCCATCGTTTCGTATCATTTCATTTTATATTTATATTTTATTTATCCGCGATTACGTATTATTGACATTTTAAAGCCGCCGCTAATTAATGCGCCTGATTATATGATCAAAGAATATGACATATCCGTAGATGGGGGAGAAATATGTTTCACGGCTGGCATTTTTGCTGAACTCACAGTCACAGGTGGCATTTACGCAGAACATTTTGTGATCCCCGACGTGAATTACCAGCAGGCTGTGGGCTCTTTTGTTATCCACGCGGAAGTTGTCGCTGTTGGTGAAGGAGACTTGATTCCGGTGCCAATCGAAGTAGCTCAGATGCCGCTTCGATGGCATCAGCTTCACCCTGCCCTCGAAGATGCCGCGCCAGTCCACGTAGTCCATCGAACTCTGACATCGCGCCTCTCGAAAACTCTGCTCCAGGTCCAGAAAGCTGGAGATTTCCAAGCCCTTCTTCGAGCGCATCACCAGGTAGACAACAGTCTGTAGAAAAAAATAGTTTATTAATCTTGCAAGAAATAATTTGAAATATTTTTAGACTTTCCGAAAGTTGTTTCTGTATCAGCTTCTGCTCCCGACTGGCAAACTGCTGGAGGACCTCGTCCTTGCTGTTTAAATAGTCGCCGAAAAGTTGGTATCCACATATTCCCCGCGGCTTCGTAAGGATCAACTCATTTGCCTTTCGCCGAAGGAATTGCTCCGGAGTGAGTAGGTTTCCGAGGCAATTCCTTCCGCAGGCATCCTGGATCAACTTCCTCTGGACATCTTTGTGGCCCAAGTAACGAATGTCTTCGTTGGTTATGAAGCTATCCACATAATCCTGGTACTGGTTAAAGTTAATAAGACTCATTACGGGAAACGCAAAATCTAATTATCTTTCAAATTGTAACTAATTGAATTACTTTTTAACTCGAACGACACTGCTGAAAAGGCAGCAAAATTCAGCTTTTGTGTCGATGGCTCAGTGTAAATCAAAAAGTATAATATTTTGAACAAGTTCGAGGAAAATACATTTCTGACAACTGACAACAAACTGGCAACTTTGGCTCAAAAGGCAAAACTTTTGCTTGGTTTGAGCAGAGGGGATGTTCTTGAATTCAATTTCGAAAGCAAATCGCCATTTCTACCAAAATGAAAAACATAGAAAAAAGGGACCGTTTTAATATTCATAAATGAGGGCAAAAGTTTTCTTATAGGGCTCATATCTTAATTGAAAAACTTGCAGGAAACTGATAAACGGAATGGACTTGAACAATTTGTAGAACGCTTTAATTTCGTGTGCTGCACAAATAATTAAACATTACCCACATAGAGTTCGCTTGCCAGAATCCGCAGCGTTGTTCGTGTGGCAAATTTAATAAATGGAAAAAGTTTCACAATGCCCAAGCCCCGACTTTGCCCTTGTCCCTTTTTTGACCAGAACTGTGAGTATTTTCAATTACACTTTCCTATGTGGCACGCCCCTTAATGCCCCAACGCCCTCCCCACACACACACACACACACACAGTCAGGGGCATTTCGCATATTAAACTAATTACTTCATCAACATTTTAAACTGCCAGCCAAAAGGGGAAATTTGCATTTTCAGCCTGTGCGTATGCAACGCTCTTTGTCCTTTTCCGCTTGATATCCTGTTGAGCGCACACTGTCGTGGATTAGCCGGCTAACGAGTGACACCTAGTGTTCGGAAACATGCTGTATAAATCCAGGAGGACCAGCTATGGGTGTACAGATCAGTTGGGAAAAGAAACTTAAAAGGTGAATGGGTTAAAAAGTACATATCTCAGGTTAAAAACATATCCCGTTTCTAAGCAAAGTAATATTTCTTTTATACTTATAGATATTTGCTGATCATAAATTGAAGAAGTAAGTAGTTAGATAATATTATATACATTTTGTCTACATATCAAGCCAAAAAATGATCTTAAATTAAAACAATTACTCAAATGTTAACAGTCCCTAATCAGCCATTATTTATATACCAAATAGGGTGTGGAAAATGTCCTGCATTTCCTGGCAGGTTTCCAGCTCGCTTTTCAATTTCCACACACAATACGCAGCAAGATTTTCCCTTTCGCTTGTGTAGAGGTGTGTGTGTCTGTGTGAATTTACGCTATTTAGACACGCTTTCACACTGTTTGCAGTTGTTGCTGCCGTCGCAGCAGCAATTAACATGCAGCCGCTGCCGACACTTGGAGCTCAGTGCTCCACTTGCCCTCCCAGAATTTTCTTCCCAGGATTTTCCAAAGCCTTCTGACTGTTTTCCTTCTGCTCCCCTCGCCGCCTTTTCGAAGAACCAACTGCTGTTCCGTTTTGCGTGCTTTGTCACCATCTTGCCGCTTGCCGCCGTCTTGAACGCGTAAATTGCTACTTCGTGGGCCAATCCTCCTCCTGTTCTCCCCGCTGAAGTCACAAGTCCTGGCGACATCCCTGCTCCGCTGCCATTCCCGCATTACTTCAGAGTACAACCAGGACTACTAGGACTGGCAGGGACACCCACTCCGCTCCCTGCGTCTTGGCCGTAGCCATTGTTTGACTTGGTCATTAGTAAATGTACTTTGTCGCAGCATAAAAAGGAGTTAAGTGCGCACTCTAAGGATTTATGTGCATTACCAAAGAATGAGGCAGCAATGCTCAATGCTGCCCTGGAAACTGCCTTTGCCATGTGTTAAGTGCACATATTTGATGAATGAGTCGGGTTCCTCCCGCCGCTTTTCAATTGCAGAAAGTGCAGAAAGGGTTGGCGAATGGCATTCATAGTTCAGCAGTTGCGTTGATTATTGCGCAGGGCATGCCAATCATCTACTTGAGAAGTAGCACCGGAAGAAATTATCAGAGAGGCTTCTAGAACCCCATCTATATTCTTTTTGATAGGGAAAAGAATTAGGAATTCATATCTTTTGCAAAGTGACAATGGCTTTTGTTTTTCTGTTTAGCCAGAAAAGTAATCGAAGAGCAAATTCCATGCATGGACAAATAATCCGAAAAGAGTCCTCCTCTCTTCTTTTCTAATTTGAATTCCGTTTGTGCATTGGCTCCCCCGTTGGGCCTGCATTTCTGTGTAATCCCATCGTCGCATTCGATTGCAATTCCCTTATTCTAATGTCATTTGGTCGTAGTGCCACATGTCCGGCAAATAAATTGCATCCGTGCCCGATTCCTTTGAACTGTTGGCAAATGCTAACACAAATTATCAAGTTACCATAAATTGCTCTCGCCCGGGCCGTACATCTTGCCAATGAAATCAAAGCCACATAAATTGCGCAAATAATTCTGCCTTCTCTCGACTTTCTCTGCCTTTCACCCTGCAGCGAAATGGCGCCCAACGAAATGCAACCAAGACAAAGGACGGGGGCCAAAAGAATCATCACTTACAACTGACCACAAAGCTCCCTTGGGAGCGGTGGTCCTGGTCCCAGTCTCGGTCTCGCAATCGATCAAAAGGAATTATGTCTCAACACAATTGTAAATAAATCTTTGCGGCCATGTGGACATCATGTGCATGCCGAGGTCTTGGACGAAGGACTTAGCTGGCAAAAGGGAGATATGGAAGACAGGAGGTGGGAGATGGGGAAATGGGACAGCCTTAAATCCTGCATATCACAGACACAGAGTATATGAAGATTGAGTGGTAATGTGTGCAAATCTAAAGCTTTCCTCCCTGGGATCCCCGAATGCGGTTGCTTCGATACCCGTCTGTCCGTTGACATGTTGGTAAATTGGTCCTTAGCTGATTGCATCGATTGCCGAGGCCGGTCTTAGCCAGAAACTGGGGAATTAAGTGTAAATGCCGGAAATTAATCTGCTCAAAGGGAAACACAAACAGAAATAGGCCCCAACCCAAATGCAATATTATTCAAAGTGATTTTACAAGTGCCTTTGGCACTTAGGAAATCGCCTCGTGGTCCAGCTGTCGGTTTTTCTTTTATAAGGCCGAAATTTATAATGCGCATCGATAATGATTTGTAATTTAAAGCTCAAACAAATTTCCGGCAATTTTCGTGGCAGACACGCGCCAAACATTTTCCTCATTTCCCGGCCCTCGACATCTTGTTTACTTTTCATCTGCCGGGGAAAACAACTTGAAGGCAGCGTAAAAAACCGAACTTATCGGTGTAATCATTGAGCCAAGGAAAGAAACATTAATTTGTTTCTTGTAAACTGCCTTGCCGAGGGCTTTGTGCAATCAACATGAACGTGAGCATCTTCAATGGCTCGGATTGTTTGGTTTGGCTTGGTTTGGTTTGGGTAACCCCCCAACCGGAAATTCAATGGCAGGAAATGTGAAATGGCCGTTAATGGCGTACACAGTGCGTATGCGTAATATGCCGGGGATCAGAATGAAAAACTGGCCTTTTTGTCTCTAATCGTTATGTGACATTAGCATGAGGAATTAGTCAGCATTTGGCAGCATTTAATATTTCATAATTAAACTTATTTGATTCTATTTGGTTTATTATTTCACAATTTGAAAAACATTCGTGTGTATCAATTATTATTGAACCAATTAAAGTCAATAATTAATATCAATAACTTAAATCGGTGATCAAATATTTGTCACTGACTGCTTTATTGCTTCCTTTTTGTTGATTAAAGAGTACGCTGATTTATTCGTTTCGTTTAATATTTTTTGATTTATTTGACTACTCATTAATTGTGGTATTTTAAATATTGAAAATAAGTAGGTATATAACCTCTACCTTTAATTTTACAAAGTTATTTCCCTTTTTGAAGAAAGAAAACGAGAGACTGAAGTCGTTACCCAACTTTCAGGCAAGCATAGCAGGCCTGTAGGCGATTACTAGTAATAAGAGCACATGTTGATGGAACATTAGGACATTTCAGGCAGCGGTGAAGTGCTCCTTCATCCCACATCTGTGGCTCCTTTGCCAGTCGCCTGTCATGTCTATTGTTAGTCGCCCGATGTTGCCTGTTCCTCGTCATGTTGGCCATTAAAATCTTGTACAGCATATGCCAGCCATATTAATTTTTTGCCACCCGGAAGGCGGTAGCGTAGGAAACACGCCCATTCACCGATTGATAGGCAGTTGCTGACGATTACGTGGTGCTGTTGCCTGCGACACGTGAGCTGGGGATGCGCTTACGTGGTTATGGTTATCGCCTTACGTAATTTCCTTGCTCATAATGAGCATTGTTGTCGTACAGGCAATTAAATCCAATTGCCTGCTGCCCAAAACGGATTAAGGGCAATTGACTCTCTAGTAATCAGCCTAAAATGTATATACTTTGAATTGGATTCAAGACAAAGGTATTGTTAAGGGGATTTAACAGACAGTTGCTAAGATGGATAAGTTAAAAGTCATTTATGAAGTAATTACCTTTGTAAGTCACATTAAAAAATTAAACGAGTTGAGAAGTCATATTTAAGACCCTTAGTCTTAGATCAACTTCTTTATCATTTTTTTTTTGGAAATATTAATTTGCAAAGTTCTCCGAAAAATGTATCCCAGCCACATCATTAAAATGTGCTCTTGTGCCTTGCAAAGCTCTTGTTCCACAAGTTTGCCGCTTCCTAACGCTTCTCTAATGACCGACCAACATAAACTGCTCGCTCGGTCGAGAGTCCTGGAAAATCCTTGCAGTTAACCGCACACAATTTTGTTATTTCTGCGGCGGACGAGCAATGTATCCAACTTGACGGGAGAATCTACAGCAGAGAGAAGGGAGTTTTTCCGTTTGCTGTCAGTGGCTCATTTGGCTGCTGAAAAGGCCAAAAGTCTGGACGAAGTCTTGGACACACAGGCAGGCAAACAGACAGACAGACCGGCAAGGGCGAGGGGATCGGATCATCTGTATCCTTTGGCCGCAGTTTGTTTTTGGGGAAAAAACAAAAAGTGAATAAGTTGTTGCCAGTGTTTGCTCGAGACTGCAAATGGCCTGCAACTATCCCCAGAGAAGCGTTGTTATCAAAGCAATATGGAACCGCTGGGGAGGGAGCACAACTGATGGTTTCTTCTAATCCC